GAATGCAAAAACTATAGGCCGATTCCACTTTTAAACGTAGACTAAAAACTATTTACATCAATTATTGATGAGATCAATTATTGAAGAGATTTGAGGCCCTCATACCAGACTTGATTGATGAGGATCAAACCGGGTTTATTAAAGGACGCCAAACACACAATAATAATATAAGAACCCTCCATATTTTAGACAACGCTCAAAAAAGTGGCACAAGTACAATTCTGGTTAGTTTAGATACCGAAAAGACATTTGATAGTGTTAATTGGTTATTTGTGTATGAGGTACTAAAGAGATTTGGCTTCAATAATTCGATGTATTAAAACTATTTATCAAGAGCCCACAGCTAAGATCAGAGTAAACGGAAGCCTGTCCAATACGATTCAGTTGGAAAGGGGGACAAGACAAGGTTGTTGTCTGTCTCCTACTCTTTTCGCTTTATATGCCCTTAGCACAGGCAATAAGGCAGAGTGGGGAACTACACGGTGTCAATGTAGGGGGGACAGAACATATAATTGGCCTTTTCGCGGATGATGTCATTATTTTCCTTGAACAATCAGATATATGTTTCCCACACATATCTCTCGTTATATTATTCTCCATTCCGACAAATAAGAGATGCATATAATTTGAAATGGAATTCTTGGTGTAACTCTGACTAAAACACCAATTAATATCCCTCCTAAAAAATGTATAGCCTAGGACAAGATGATTTCTAGATTCATTTGGAATAATAAAAAACCAAGAATAAAATTTAAGACACTTCAACTACCTAAAAGTAAAGGTGGAATGGCTTTGCCTAACCTTACAGAATATTTTTATGCAGCTCAACTTAGACCTCTGGCCTGTTGGTGTAGACCTGACTATGAATCTAAATGGAAAGGGAAATACAGGGCTATCAGACCCAGATATTGGTGGGGGATAAACATTTGATAGGTGCTTTGAGACACGCTATGAACCCAATAGTAGCATTTACACTAGAAATATGGAGCGTTGTAGTAAGAAAATACAAATTTAAGAGGGATATGTGCATTCTGAGTTGGTTTGCGTACGATTCAAAGTTTAAGCCAGGGACATATGATCCAGTATTCAAAGAATGGGCACAAAAAAGTATGACAGCAATATGTACAGTTTCGGCAGGTGGAGAATTTCTAAGCTTCCAAGATCTAAAAACAAAGTACGGCCTTGAAAACAAAGATTTCTATAGATACATGCAGTTAAGAGATTATTTCACAAAAGAGATAAGGCCAGTTGAAACTATAAATAAGGTGATTGGTGTCATTATGGATTCATACAAACAGAAGGGGTCTCGGCCCATCTCTGCTTTCTATCAAGCTTTGGGTGAGAGCAGGGGGGAATCCACACTATATAAAAGCAAAATGGGAAGCAGAACTAAAAATCCAAATACAAGAGGAGGAATGGTATCACGTGCAAGACACAATGAACATTTACAAATCCATTAATATGGAGGGAGTTTGGATTTTATAACACCAAAAATAAAATCTAGGCAACTCGTTATACGACAAAACTGCTGGAGACTGTGCAGGAGTGTGGAAGCAGACCATGCACAAATCTTCTGGAACTGTACAAAAATGAGGACATACTGGCAAAATGTGAATTTAGTTGTAAAAAATGTCTTGGGATATGAAATCCCAAATACTTGTCCAGTGATGTACCTTGGGAATATTGAGAAGGTTGTAATGAAAGAAGATCTGTACTTTACTAAAGTATTACTCGCAGCCAGTAAGAAAGTGGTCACAAGAAACTGGCTCAATGTAAATATCCCAAAACAGAACCAGTGGTTGGAAATTGTCCAGGAAATCTTTGTTATGGAAAAATTGACATACCTTTTGAGAGTCAAAGAGAATGTATTTAAAAAGAACTGGGAAAAATGGAACATTTATATGAGACGTGACACCAACTGAACATATATCAAATGGAATAGTGGACTGAATAGAGGATCATCTCCAGACAGTTTGTTGGTGTTACTGTATTACTATTGTTATTTTAATTTTTACCTTATTTGCTGTATTGTTTTGTCTATATGCATGTAAAAACTCAATAAAAATTTAAGTTACAAAAAAAAGATTATCCACAATTCAGGTTATTTTACAGAAACCATGAGCACCAAAGTATCAAATCATCAAACTAATTTGTCACTGATTGATTGTTATTTGATAGAAGAAATATTCATACTTGTTTAAAGAAACAATCTGATAGTACCGTATTTCCATCTTTGCTGAGCAAGTGCTTTGTGCAAAAGGAATTAAAGGCCTGTCCTATATAGAGGCCTGTTCCTAATAAAGGCAGGTTGAGTTGAGTGATTGAAGCAAATAAAAGCTATTCATTGAAGATTTATGGTGCATCATTTCCATTTTTTTAACAGTATTGACAGGTAACTTAATAACCCATCGGGTATCTTGACAGTTTAAAATGAATAGTGCTACACAGTATATTCAGATAATATACTGGCATATCACCAGCTGGTCAAAGAACAGCTCAAACAAATGAGCTAAATGCCCAACAATCAACAGCCGAAGCAGCTTTACTGGGTTTTCTGGAAAACTAAAACATTTTTTGCACATTAGTCCTAGATTGTACTCCAGATATATAATTAATACACTCAATAAAACTGGAAAGGGGGCAAAAATTGATAACGTGGTCATTTTTGGCCAGTGACATTTTGGGCAAAAATAAGTTATATGTCTTCAAATGAAAGCTCTTGGTGAGCTCTTTCTACTGCCAAAAGGAGACAAGTGAATTTAAAACCAATACAGAGTTATTAATCAAAAAGCTAAATAACTAAAACTTAGGTATTTGGGGTTTAAAGGATTAAATGTTAAAATATTGTACCATTAATATAATCTTCTACATGTTTATGAAGTTTTAATATTAAAGACTGAAATCAATAAACAAAGTCAGGACAAAGTATGGTAATTTTTTGTTTTGGCTCTCCTGTAAAGCTGGTCAAATGTCACTTAGGCCCCTCTGGTTCTCATCCCTCAATTTGATGTTGCTTGTTGAAGGTCCGAGCATGAATACTGCCATCTTGTCTTTCTTTGACTTTGAATGCTGTTGCTGGGCCCAGTCCTTTTAAGACTTTCAATGATGTGTTTTCTACGACAGAAAAAACCTACTTTTCCTCTGTCCACCCTCTACTCAGTATGTTCTGAAACAGTACTTGACTACGATTGAAGCAGTGTGTTCAGCCATATTTTTGCCAAAATATGACTTTACTAAACATCTGGATGGACAGCAAAGAAGTGAGTTACACTGCAGTCATGCTTTAAAGAGGTTTATAGGACATTTTTCCGGCTGAAATGCATTGTAACTGTCATCGAGCTGACCACAATGACACTACAAACACTACAAAGACACTCTTTTGACTTTTTATAGCCACATTCAAGGCTTACATGGTGTGAGCAGTTGATACTTGATACAAAGTTGTTAAAAAAACATTCCTTCTGTGAAGACAAACAAACAAGATGTTCACTTACAGCTCATCTGGGCCATATGAACCACACACTCTGACAAACAAGATGTTCACTTACCGTTCATCTGGGCCATATGTGGGCATCTGTCCTGTAAATCCAAAATAAAAACATATAAAACATGAAAAACTGTTCTCAGAAATCATATGGGATTCAAATAAAACAGTTGTGAAATGTATAAAAAAAAAATTATAAATACGGTATAACTGTTCTACAGTACAGTCTTACAGTAAAATGACATTAGTACTGTTAATTTAACAGTTGAAGTTGAGTTTTATTCAATATTTCACCATAAAAAATACAAGTCTTTACCATAAAAAGAAACCATATAAATTCTGTATGAAAGTTTTGGCCATGAGATATGATGGTGGTTTTCTGTGCAATTTAGTCTGTAATATTAAAAATATATATAATAAAAAACTGTATTTAACCTATTTAGTGTTTAAAACTTTAACTGATAGATATCACCATGAAACTTCCCCAGTTGATTACTTGTTATGTTTAAGTACACAAATTAGGCATTATCTCATTAAAAACTGCAGGTTGTAAATGATTTATAAACAAAGCCCTCAGTAAATCTCTTCAGATTATAGATAGATTTGAAATTCCTCTTCGGGGGACCAATAATGGAATGGAATCTTATCTTATCTTATCTTACAGGAATTAAAAAGGAAGGTTTGATGTATGTAAGTGATGAAGTGAAGATTTCTGGCTCAGTACTAACAGCCTTTAAAGATATGTATTGTAAATTCCAAATATCAGCACATAAATGTGTATTTTAGGTGTTTTCTTTTCATTAGTCTGAAAGAAGAAAGAAAGAACGTGAATGAAAATAAAATGTTTTTCCCTGTAATGTCTCTTTAAGTTTAAGTTTAGGCCTGACAATAATAACTGAGTCAATGAATAAATATAAATGTAAACCTTACCTAGTTTGACATACAGGACACCCGTGGCAGAGATGACCTTGAGTGAGTTGGAGGCGACACACTGATAATAGCCCGTGTCTGTTGTGTCCAGGTCCTGGATCCGGAGCTTGGATCCTGCCTCGTTCTTGCGGATGGTAATGCGTCCCTGCTCCTGGACCACAGGGGCATCGTTCTTCAGCCAGCGGATGGTTGGTCGTGGGTTTCCTGCCACTTTGCAGTGCAGTGTGGCCGTTTGGCCCTGGAAGTGGGTGATGTTGTTGACTGGTTCCAGGAACTCCAGAAAATAACCTTGAGGGGATTAACACAATGGGTTTAAGTTTTCTTCAAAACTTCAAAACAGGCAAAATGGGGTGTACAGAAATCTGACAATTATAGAGCTGAGCAGTAATGAGATCTTGTATTTGATTCACGCATCACAATCATTGGCGCACTCTTCAGCAACGTCCAAGTGTACAGCACAGCATTGCTTTACATTACTTTCATTTTACATTGTACTGATTACATTGCTGATTTCTGCTGCCCAACTTCCTCCTTATGTGCCATATTCTTGTTAATGTTGATTTAACTAATGTTCATCCATGCTCTCCAGCAGAATCCTTGTTGCTGCTCTGATTTTTTGAGAGCTCCCTCAATGATCACAGCAGAGCTGTTCTACTGACTACAAATCGGTAGTTGGAACTTCAGTCCTTGGACAAATTATTCAAGAAGGTCCTGGGTTTGAACCTCAGCCATCCTAGGTCGTTTTTGTGTGGAGTTTGCACGTTCTCCCTGTGTTAGCGTGGGCATCAAAACATGCATGTTTGGGTTAATACTTCCATCCAAGTAATTCTCCTATTTGTTCCTCTATTACAGGAACCACAGGGGCAAATTGAAGCCATAAGCTCATCGAAGTGTCACCACCCTTAGTCTAAACTTTAGACTAATAAGGGTGGTGACACTCTAAACCCCTGGGTTCCTAGCCCCTCCGGCTACATCTCAACTCTAATGTCACTCCTATGTCACAATGCTACTAATTACAAGTACTAATAGCATCAATTTGTGTTAATTACTATCAGGCAGCAACTGGAGGGGATGGGACAAGATGCAGCAAGGGGGGTACAGAGGTCATCCAGGGCATGCCTGCCCCATAAATACCAACCTAGAGTCAGATTTCTAGTCTCACCGCAGCCATAATTAAAAAGCAGATGCTGGTTCCCACTTTAGATACTCCCATTATTTCCTGTGTTTGCTCCATAAGAACACAGACATAAATGAGAAGTGACTATCCATCCACACATTTATCTTTGGGTGACAATGATATGTGGATTACACAAAGTAGACATTCATAATGAAATGAAATATTTTCTTCCTGTGTTCCTCCTGACCACAGATTCTGTCTGGTTTGCGATAAGTAAGCGATAGTTGAATTTAATATATTAAATCAGTTCTGATAAGCTAATAATCTAAAGCTATTCATCATTATAGAAATTTAGAGATGCTCTGATGCTCTTTTTTCTTCTGATACTGTTTCTGACACCTGAGACTTTGCCTATTGGCTTATACTGAGTGCTGATCAGATAATATGCATTAAAATAGTACATGAGACAGATAATCTGTGAAACAATCAGGTTCCTCTGGCTCATCCTAGTGCTCCTAATGGCATTTGCAAGAATCCACCAGGCCTGAATGAAAGACATACCAATCAGAGCCAAGACGAATGATAATTGATTGTTGAGTCTCATTTCAACGTCGTCAAATACCGTAGCTGGGAATGAGACTCAACAATCAACTATCTTCAAGCCACCAATCGAAAGTGTCTTTCTATCTTTCTCTGCTTTGATTTGTTGTTTTTGTTCATAGTGAAATATATATATTGAAAAAATTTAGTGAAAGTTGCAGTTAATGTCAAAAGTTATCTATCTATCTATAAAGCAAGAAATCTCTGTCTCTGTCTGTGTCTGTGTATGTGTGTGTGTGTGTGTGTGTGTGTGTGTGTGCAGGCG